TTCTTTTTTTTTTTTTTAAGGAGTAAGCCTGGTGTGGTGGCTCACGCCTGTTAGCCCAGCACTTTGGGAGGCAGAGGCGACAGAATTGACTGAGCCCATGGGTTCGAGATCAGCTTGGGTGACTTGGCGAGACCTTGTCTCTACAATAAATAAATAAATAAAAATAGCCGGGCATGGTGGCGCATGCCTGTCTTTCCAGCCACTTGGAAGGCTGAGGCGGAAGGATCACCTGAGCCCAGCAGGTCGAGTCTGCGGTGGCTGTAAGCGTGCCACTGCACTCCAGCCTGGGCGACGGAGTGGGACTCCAACTCAAAAATAAAATAAAATAAAAAAGAGCAAATATCTTCCTACGAGGGGTGGGGTGGTGCATGCCTGTAATCCCAGCTACTTGGGAGACTGAGGCAGAAGGATTGCCTGGGCCTAGGAAGTTGAAACTGTGGTGAGCTGTGAGGGTCCCACTGCACTCCAACCTGAGTGATAAAGTGAGATCCCTTTAGCTGTTCAGAAAAACTAAACAAAAATCCTTTCAAACCTGTCTTTCACAGACCAGATGTTTGCAAATCCTTGCATGTCTTCTTTTTCCTGAAATAAGTCTCGTACTCACCCAGATCCTTCCAGAAAAAAAGAGAGGTGACTTCAGGTAGCAGTAGTGATGGTCAGAGTGGCTATGGGGTCTCAGCTCTCCAGATCTCTACCAAGCCTGCCAGCAGGGGGCATCCCCTCCACCCGCATCCACCCCTCCACACAAGGAGGAACAAAACACAGACAAGGGAGAAGCCAGCTAGAGTTGTGAGTTTATTGAGGAAGATCCAGGGGTCATTCTAGGATCAGCCCTTGCTACCCATGGTCTTCTTGATCCAGTCTAGGTAGCGGCAGATGTTGGTGTAGACGCCAGGTCTCTCGGGCCACCCACAAGGGTCTGAGCCCCAGGATGTGATGCCTTGGAGTACACCATCACATACCAGCGGGCCCCCAGAATCACCCTGGAGGGGAGAATGAGAAAGAGGTTTCAGCTAAGATGCCCACAAAGTTCTTTTTCCTGCTGTGTCCAGCGTTTAATAACAGTTCTTTAGTGTGACTGGTCTCCTCTAGCCAATGGGGATAAGAGCATTGTCCTGAGACCAATCAGGAGTGGGGTTGGGCTTTCCATGTACAGAGAGAAAGGATGTCTAAGGGCAATGATCAAAATCCTGACCAAGGTGCAGTGGCTCATGCCTATAATCCTAGCACTTTGGGAGGCTGAGGTACAAGGATCACTTGGGCTCAAGAGTTTGAGACCAGCCTGGGAAACATAGCCAGATTTCATCTGTACGAAAAATTTTTAAAAATGGCTGGGTGTGGTGGTGTGCATCTGTAATCCCAGCTACTAGGGAGGCTGAGGTAGAAGGGTTTCCTGAACCTAGAAGTTTGAGGCTGTGGTGAGCTATGATGGCCGCACTGCACTACAGCCTGGTGACAGAGTGAGACTCCGATGCAAAATTTCTTTTTTAAAATCCTGAACAATAAGGGAAGAGAATGAGGTCTCTAGGGTCCAATCCAGAGAAAACAGAGTGGGATTACAGGGAAAGACTGATATTTCCTCCATTCTTGGACAACAGTGGAGGGATAATTGAGTCCAATTACCAAACACAGGAAGAAAATTCTTGTGGGGACACACACACACACACACACACACACACACACACCAGATCCCTAGGGGACAACAGTTGTGGAGGAGACTACTGTCTCTATGGAACAGTCCAGAGCCATTGGCTTTCATGGCAGTATTGCTGACATCACTCCACCCTTGTCCAATGAGGAAGAAAGCATTATCTTCAGGGACCAATCAATTAGCAAAGGGGTGGGGCTTCCATGAAGGGGACAAAGCCAGGGGGAGCCCCAAGGACAACAGCCTGGAGTTGCGGCCTTAGGAAAGTGAGTTATATCTATGACACATCCCAAGAGAAGGGGATTGGATTCACAGAGGAGGCACAGGAGTCAAGGGCGCCATTCCCCAGCCAATAGCGAAGACAGCATTGCTGCTAAAGAGCCAATCGTAGGAGAAGGCAGTCAGCCCTGGCAACCTAGCAAGGTCTCAAGAAAAATGGTCGACTACTTGGCCAGCGGTCGAATCAGCACAAGTTACAGGAAGAAACACCGGGAATGGGAGCAGAGGGTTGCCTAACCTCCATCCTGAGACTCCTTCATAGACATCTCTCTTCCCCCTCCAGGACCTCCCTCTCCACACCCCATCCTACAGGCCAGTGTTTCCAAGAAAATGACAGCGACCATTCAATGCTTCTTATCCCTGTGCTGTGTGACCTTCAGGGAGAGTTTGGCCTTTTCTGAGCCTGGTTCCTGCTCAGGGGTGATTTCTGTGGCTACTGACAGTTTGGAGTCCCCCTACTCCTCCCCATCAGGGGCTTGAGCCTCTAGAAGGGTTTGAAGGAGGAAGGGGACTTCAGAAGTCGTTCACCTGGCATGTGTCTGCGCCATTGCTGTTGCCTGCACAGAGCATGCCATCCGAGACCTGTCCTGGGTAGGCGTCCTCACACTTCTTCTGGGGGAAGATTCTTATTTCTGCACAGTTGAGGGTGTCAGGAAAATTCTCTGAGGAAGGAGAGGTTGTAAGTTCCATGAGAGAGCAATCCTTTGCCTTTCTCCCTGTCCAGATCTAAAGTCCTCTCTGTCCAGCCATAGCTGCATGGGACAGTTTCCTGACACATCACACAGGTGATGTCACTTATCACCACAGTAAAGGAAGCTGTTATTGGCAGTGATTTGGTTTTCTCCAGCTAGAGAGTGGTCCTTGGAGCTTACATTTTTTCCTTGCCCTGAGTTACTTTTAAATCAAGGGGGGGGGGGTGACTTAGAGGCGTCCCCTTGTGACAACTTTGACCTCTCTCCAGTCTCCCTGTCCTCAGACCACCAGGTCCTCAATCTCTGCTAAATCCTACTTCTTCTAAGTGTCACCCTCTCCTAGATGCCTTTCCTGACTACTCTAATTAAAATACCACCCCTCATGGGCTGGGCGCGGTGCCTCATGCCTGTAATCCCAGCACTTTGGGAGGCTGAAGCAGGAGAATTGCTTGAGGCAAGGAGTTTGAGACCAGCCTGGGCAACATAGTGAGACCTAGTCTTTACAAAAAATTAGCTAGGCATGGTGGTGCATGCCTATAGTACCAGCTACTCAGGAGGCTGAGGCAGAAGGATTGCCTGAGCTCAGGAGGCTGAGGCTGCGGTGAGCTATGATCATGCCACTGCACCCCAGCCTAGGAGACAGAATGAGACCCCGACTCAGAAAAATAAAAAAAATAAAAAAAATAAACATCGCCTCTCCATCACTCCCTATATTTTATGACAGCTCTCAACTCTACCTAATATTTTACATGAATCTGTTCATTGTCCATTTCCCCCACCTAGTGTGCAACTCCACAGGACAGGGATTTTGTATAATGTGCTCATGACTTATCCCCAGTACCTATGACAGCTCTTGGGGCATAGTAGGTGCTCAATAAATAAATGTTGAAGGAATGACTGAAGGTGGAATGAACCTTCCTTATTAACCTCCTTTAAGGAAGAGACTTGAAGGGGTTGACTGGCATCTCTGTATGCTAGAAGCGACATGCTCACAATCTCATGTAATCCTCATGACCACGCTTGGAAGGAGGGAGACACTCGTCCATTTCGTTACTCATCTGCCCACGTATCCATTTAACACTTATTGAGCACTTACTGTGTACCAGGCACCATCCTGAGCACTAAGAACATACAATGAGCTGGGCTCGGTGGCTCAGCCTGTAATCCCGCGCCTTTGGGAGGCTGAGGTGAGTAGATTGCCTGAGCCCGTGGGTTCGAGACCCGCCTGGGCAGCGAGACCTCATCTCTACAATAAATCAAAAAATCAGCTGGGCGTGGTAGCGCATGTCTGTAATTCCGGCTACTGGGAAGGCTGAGGCGGAAGGATCGCCGGGGCCCAGCAGGTCGAGGCTGCAGTGGCCGGGAGTGGCCACTGCACTCCAGTCTGGGTGACAGAGTGAGACTCCAACTCAAAAAAAAAAAAAAGAACATGCAATGAAAAAAATAAATGCACCCTGAACTCTTTAGGAGCTCAAAAATCTATTGGATGACGAGTCTCTTTTTGCAGATGAGGAAAGTGAGGCCAAGAGCTGAAAAGAGATTTACTTGTCCAGGGAAAAGGGAAAGGCCATGGTTTGAACTGATCTACTGGATGTGTGAGCAGGTGTGTTTCTACAGCATCCCGCCAGCTTCTTTGAGGGAGGAGTGAGACAGGCAGGAATCCGAGTTCTGGCATTGCCACTTCCCGGAGAAGCCCAGTGCCTGCTTGAGCTGAGCCTCAGGTTTTCACTGTGAAAGAGAGTGAGGGGCTGTCTGGATTTCAGAGTCCCAAAGGGACAGCTTCAGTGGAGATCCAGACTTTTAGGTCCATGGTGAGAAAGGCCCTGGGGACCTAGACTTCTAGTTCTTGGAGAAGGAAGAGCCTGGACTCCTGGGCCTGAGGGAAGAGGGGGCCAGGGCCCAGGTTTCATGGGTTCAAGAGGGAAAAGGAGTCTGGGTGTGGTGGCTCATGCACTTTAGGATAGCTTAAGGCCAGGAGTTTGAGACCAGCCTGGGCAACACAGCAGGATCTCATCTCTACAAAAAAAAAATTAGCCAGGTGTAGTCTCCTTGGGAGACTGAGGCTAAAGGATCACCATAATAGGTAACAGAGTGACCCTGACTCAAAAAATAAATAAAAATAAATAAAAATAAAGATACTTAGGAACTTTTCCTAGGCCTCTGAAGAGTCCACCTATCCCAAGTCTGTTAAGAGGATTATACAAAATCCTACACAACAAAAGGTCTTGTAGGATGGTGCTCCCCACCATAAAGGAGGGGTTTTGGAGGGGCCTGCTTAACAATCTGTGGCTTGCTCTTTCTCTCATCCTGTTAATAATCTGGCCTTTGAGGTTTCCAGCATGGGCCCTCTGTGAATCTCAATGTTACAATTACTTTCCCTTCTGTTCTCCTCCTAAGGGACCACATTTTCCCAATGACTTGGGGTCCACTGGGGCAACCAGTTTCTTCTCTTCCTCCCAGGAGTGGCCAACCCCACTACCTCGGGGACTGGTGACAGTGCCCCAGCCTGAGATGGTGCACATCTGGCCAACTTGGGGGCAGTGATCCGCCAGGCTGATGGGCTTCACTTTGGACCCTAGGGATGCCCGGTCACGTAGCTGTAGTAGCATCAGATCATGGTTGTGGTTGTCACTGTCGTTGCTGTTGTAGCAGGGGTGTGGGATGGAGCGGGCCACAGATATCTCTTGCTCTGGTCCATCCTTTTTCTGCAGGCTGTGGTCTCCCAGGCGCACTGTGTACTTCCTGTAATGGTGGGGGCCGTTGGGGACCCAGGCAGGAGTACATGCCCCAGCCCCTCCTCCCTCAGACCAGGAGTCCAGGTCCCAGCCTCTTCTCCCTCAGACCAGGAGTCCAGGTCCCCAGCCCCTCTTCCCTCAGATCAGGAAGTCCAGGCCTCCAGCCCCTCCTCCCTCAGATGGCGAGTCCAGACCTCCAGCCCCCGTCCTCCCTCAGACCAGAAGTCCAGGCCCCCGGACCCTCTTCCCTCAGATCAGGAAGTCCAGGCCTCCAATCCCTCCTCCCTCCTTCCCTCTTCAGATCAGGAGTCCAGTCCTCAGCTCTCTCCCTCCTGAGTCAAGACCCCAGCCTCACTCTGTCCTCTAGCCCCAGCCGACCTCAGCCCCCACCATCCACTCACGGTTTTTTACAGTGGGCAGCCGTGAGGACCCATTTGGCACCTACAAGAACACCCCCACAGAGCAGCTGCTGGCCCTGGAACAAGGCTGTCTGCCAAGGCTGCGAATGGGGCTCACACTCCTGGCCCTCCAGCAGCTTGGACTCCTGTGCCCTGGGGCGTCCTGCAGCGGGAGGGAGAGGGCTGGAGTGCCACCCCAGGGTGCTATGCCAGGGCCAGGATGTCCACCGTGGGTTGGAATGGACTCATGGCAAGTTCTCCGCATGCAACTTCTTGCAGGAAGCCCTGGCACTCACACGGATACACACGTACACTCATCGGAGTCCACACGTCACCATACACGAGTCACACCTCCGCGCATGCTGGCACGTGCCTGAGTCTATGCGCCCCAAATACGCCCACGTGTATCTGCCCGTTCACCAAGCAGCCCCGGAAGGCCCTGTGCACCCAGATGATTTGCAGCACCACCGAAGCTCCTACTGCCCCTTGCCCCCACCCAACCTCAGGAAAGCCCACTGAGACCCCCAGGCCCTGCCACACCCCTCACATCCCCACGCACGCAGCCACGCGCACCCACATCGCCACCAAGGCATTCCCAACGGCCTCCAGCGCCGCTGCTGCCTTGGGACCACCCCCACACCGAGGGCTCCCCGCCCCCCTACCTGCCCAAGCTGCCCACGTCAAGAGCAGGAGAATCCAGGTCCAGGCTGCACCAGGTGGGGGGCGTCCCATGGCGAGGTCTGGGAGAGGGAGAGGGCGGGGCCAAGAGACGGGAAGGAGGAGCCTGGAATCCCAGCCGGATTTGGGGACTGGGGAAGGAGCCCAGCGTCCGGAGCGGCTCTGAGTTCTGTAGGAGGAGGGAGCTGGGGCCCCCGATTCCTGGAGCTCAGCAAGCGTGGGGACTGGACTCTACATTCAGAGGGAGGAGGGAGGCAGGGTCGCGGGCTTCTGGGTCACCGGGGCCGGGAGCTGGGATTCCTAAGTCTGGGGGAGGGGAAGCTGGATGCGGAGGGCTGCGTCTTAAGGGAGAAGGGAGTCCTGGCTCCTGTAGAAGGAGGGTCCCGGGCCCGGATGCCTTTGAGTATCTCTGCACCTCACCTTCCAGAATCCAGGGGGCAGGGTCATCTACTGATTCGGACCCAGTGGAGGAGGGCCCAGGACTTCGGTTCTCGCTGCCTGGTACACAAATCTGGAGCCTTTTAACTGGGAATCCCCGCCTCCTGCTCCTCCTCCTCCGGTACCTGAGCCTGGGGATCATCTGGGAACAGGAATCCCGGGTGAGAGCGAAGAGAGGCAGAGGGCTGAACGCAAAATCTTGAGGGTTGGAATCTCAGACTCCCGAGGCACGGTAGAAAAGGGGTCTTGGGCTGAGACTCCAGGGTCTGAAACCGAAAGAGTTGGCTGGGGGCCTGGACTCTGGGTCTGAGGGAGGAGGGGCTGGGGCTTGGACTCCTGGGTCTGAAGAAGGAGGGGCTGGGGGCCTGGACTCCTGGGTCTGAGGGAGGAGGGGCTGAGAGGCCTGGACTCTGGGTCTGAGAGAGGAGAGGCTGGGACCTGGACTCCTGGGTCTGAGGGAGTAAGGACTGGGGTCTGATCTGGTCTGAGGGAGGAGGGGCTGGGGCCTGGACTCCTGAGTCTGAGGGAGGAGGGGCTGGAGTGGAGTCCTGGGTTTAAGGGAGGAGGGGGCTAGTATTGCTAGTATTGGGGGAGGAGTCTGTGGGCTAAAGTCTTAAGTAATTTTGGAAGAAGGGGCTTGGAGCCTGATTTTGTGGGAGGATGGGGCTGCTGCCAGTAACCCGGAACGGAAGGTCATCTTGGTTCAGACACCTAAGGGTGGATCAGGCCCCACCCACTGCCCCCTGAGAGGTCCGAGATCTGGGAAGGCAGGTTTGGGAGGGTCCGTGACCTGGTTTTCCCTCCCCCTGGAGGCGTCGGGACCAGCCCAAGCAGCACCCAAGGGCCTTGCTGCAATAGGGCTGATGGAGAGAGACCTCAGCAGCACTTACTAGGGACTCATCCGTGTCCCTCCCCCATCTCACAACGCAGGCAGAAGGAAGGCACAGATCTCCGCATTTATTATAAAATCATCTATCCACTCTAAAGAAGTCAAGACCCTCGCCCAACTTCTCCCAGTCAGGTCCCCGCCAGGATTTAAACCCGGGCCGCGCCCAGGGCGGGGCCACGAGGGGCGGAGGCTGACTCTGCCCGAGTCCCATGTGGGCGGAGCTACCGCACTCCTGACGTCACGGGAGGGACTCTCTGACGGAGGAGGCGGAGCCACAGGGGGTGAAGCCGGGCGGGGAAGTCCCGCTGGGCAAAGTTCCGAGGGGCGGAGCTACAAGGTCGTGCTGTTCCAGGATGATCGTGCCAGTTCCAGGTGTCGTCATAGAGACGCAGCCGCGACGGGGGGGCGTGTCCCTCTTGCCCTCGAGGGGGCGTGGCCATAGCGTCGTCGATACGAGGGGCGGAGCCTGAGGGGGCGGAGTCTCACTGTCCAAAGGGGTGTCTCTATTTACAAGGGCCGCTGGAAGTCAAGGACGGAGACCACTGAGGCTGGAGCTCTGCCGTAACCTCCTGCCCCGTGCCCACCCTCCTCTCTTGGACGTCCGAGGCGTGAAGGCTGTTTTCCTCCATGGTTTCCTGGATCCAGTCCAGGTAGTAGCATGTGTTGGTATAGACGGCAGGGCGTCCGGGTCTGGAACAAGGCTCGGCACCCCCAGATACCACGCCCGCCAGGGTTCCATTGCAAACCAGGGGACCCCCAGAGTCACCCTACACGAGAGAGAAGAGCAGAGGGACTGTTAGGCCTCTCTATTCGGGACAATTACAAGTGCCACTCCCTCCCTCCCAGGAAGGCTCCCAGCCCCTTCCTCCCCCAACACTCAGGAGCTCACTTCTCCAGTCTCCCCTCCCTCAGACCCAGGAGTAAGAGCTCAGGGACCCCAACTCCCCCTAAGCTTCAAGGTCCGGACCCCTATCCCCTCCTTCTTTAGATCTAGGACTCCGGGCCCTCAGCCTCAATTCTCTTTTATACTCAGGCGTCTGGGTCCTGGCCATTCCCTCCCAGGACCCGGATATCCCAGTCTCCTCCTTGCTTTGACCCAGCAAGTCTAGGGCTGCAGCCCTCTCCTCCTTTAAGTTCTAGGAAACAGGGCAAGATGACCTCATCTTCCCCAGGACGGGGTCTCACCTGGCAGGAGCCTCGGCCCCCCTCCCAGAGGCCTGCACAGAGCATGCTATCTGAGATGTGGCCCGGATATGCCCGGTGACAGAGAGTGGGCTCCAGGATGCTGATGTTGGCACACTGCAGCGTGAGTGGATACCGTGCTGTTGAGAAAGGACATCCATCGAGAGTTAGCAGCTGTCCCATGGCACTCAGCACCCCGCCTCCCCGAATGCTCCCTGCACCCTTTCCAAAGGAGGACTCAGGGAGCCACACCATGGGACTCTCAAAGGTAGAGACAAGAGACAGTGACAGAGACAGAATCATAGCACATGACAGAAAACAGCTGGAGATAGGGTCCAAAGGAGAGAGAGAAAAACAGAAAGATGAAGAGAGGCAAGGGGCAAGAGAAGATACCTGTATAACTCAGAGAAAAACAGAATCCATGGAGGAAGAGAGATACCGCTAAAGGGGAAAGAGATTTTCTGAGGCGACAACAAAAAAATAAGGAGAAACAGGCCAGGTGTGGTGGCTCACACCTGCAATCCCAGCACTTTGGGAGTTCAAGGCGGGAGGATCACTTGAAGCCAGGAGTTTGAGGCCAGCCTAGGCAACATAGCAAGACCCCGTCTCTATAAAAAATAAAAAATGAATTTTAAAAAAGAAATGGGGGCTGGGCGCGGTGGCTCAGCCCATAATCCCAGCACTTTGGGAGGCTGAGGCGGGGGGATTGCCTGAGCCCAGGGGTTCAAGACCAGCATGGGCAACTTGGTGAGACCTTGTCTCTACAATAAATGACAAAAAGTAGCTGGGCATGATGGTGCGCATCTGTAGTTCCAGCTACTTGGAAGGCTGAGGCGGAAGGATCACCTAAGCCCAGCAGTTTGAGGCTGTGGTGGCTGTGAGCGTGCCACTGCACTCCGGCATGGGTGAAGAGTGAGACTACAACTCAAAAAAAAAGAAGAAATGGGGAGAAACAGACTCAGAAACATCAGTGACACAAAGGGGGAGAGATATTTACAAGAATATCATCACTGATAGAGACTGAGACATGGAGAGACCAGATGGAGAGAGAGGTGGATATAGCATTGCCAATTAGAATAGATATGGATACAGATATACACCTATGCATCTATGTAAGGTATAGGTGGAGATCAGATGCATCAAGGGGCTTGTTGGGTAAACAGAAGGGGGGAGGGGAATGTGCAGGGAGACCATCCAACCCTTGGGGTGACTAGAGTGAGTGGACTCATCTTGTCTGGGGCAGTCTCTGCTGACTATGTCCAGGGCTTGCTGTTTTGGGAATGTGGGTGAGTTCCTTCAATTTTTCAAGCAATTCCAGAAACTTGGCTTTTATGTGAAATCTACCAGGTTTTAAATATTGGCAGCAGCAAATTCAGACTGGTTTTCAAGACACTTTGAAAACTCATACATGGGAAAAAGTCAAATTTGACTGATGGGTCATTGATTGGTGACTCTGAGAGACACAGGCCTTATTTAGATTCTAAGATGCACATATTTTCATATTTTAACATCTCTGAAATCAAGATGTCTTCCAGTAAATGGTGTCATAGCATCAATGGGACCCCCCTTTTTTCCCCCATTCTTAGCAGTTCATAAAATATTGGTGCATCTTAGAATTTCTAGCATTTTAGACCAGGCATGGTAGCTCATATCTGTAATCTCAGCACTTTGGGAGGCCAAGGTGGGAGGATCACTTGAGCCTGGGAGTTCAAGAACAGCCTGGGCAACATAGCAAGATCTCGACTCTACAAGAAATCAAAAAATTAGCTGACCGTGGTGGTGTGCACCTGTAGTCACAGCTACTTGGAAGACTGAGGTGGAAAGATTGCCTGAGCCTAGGAGATTGAGACTGTGGTGGCCATGATCGTGCCACTACACTCCAGCCTGGGCAACAGAGTGAGATACCAGCTCCAAACAAAAAAAAAAACCCGGGTGAAGTGGCTCATGCCTATAATCCCAGCACTTTGGATTGCCTGAGCCCAGGGGTTTGAGACCAGCCTGTGCAACATAGCGAGACCTTCTCTCTACAATAAATCAAAAAATTGGCTGGGCATGGTGGCACATACCTGTGGTTCCAGCTACTTGGAAGGCTGAGGTGGTAGGATCACCTGAGCACAGCAGGTCGAGGCTGCGGTGGCCATGAGCATGCCATTGCACTCCAGCCTGGGTGACAGAGTGAGACACCAACTCAAAAAAAAAAATCTAGCATCTTAGATGTGATGAAATACATTGATAGGCAAATAGATGGTCAGACAGATAAACTGATGGAAAGAGAGGAGAGAGAGGGAGAGGTGAAAAGGCAGAGAGAGAGAGTGGGGGGAGCCAGACCCTGGGTGTGTCTTGGGCAAGGCCGTACCCTTGGGGCTGGACACAGCCCCCCAGCCTGAGATGAGGCACTCTGTGCCTGGGATGACGCAGTTTTGGCTGAGGTTGAGGGGCTGCACAGCAGGACCCAGCTGTGCCTCCCTGGGCAAGCGAATCAGCATGATGTCATCGTTGTGGTCATTGGCACTGAGGTCCTTGTTGAACCCAGGGTGGGGGAAGAAGTCCGTCACCCGGAACAGCTGTTCCGGTCCCTCCCATTTCCAGAGGTGGTGCTCCCCAAGGCGGACCCACAGAAACCTGCTGGGACAGGCCTCAGAGGTCAAGCTGGGCACAGGCAGGGGTCTTCCCCACCCCAGTCCTTGTTTTCATCGGACAGGATGCTGTGTGATGCCCTGCAAGTCACACACTGTCTGTGGACCCCCATCATTTATGTCTGACCCAGGGTATTGTGTGATTTTCGGCATGACACATACCGTCTCTGGGTCCCAGCTGCCCACTCTGACTTTCCGTCCAGCCTTCCTCCAGAATCGAACATCCCCCTCCCAGCTCCAGGCGGAGTGAGTCAACTTCCTGCCTACCCACCTGGAGCCTTGGTGGTGACCAGTGTCCCCTGGAACGGGGTGAGCACACGGAGGCCCCACCTACCACTCTACAACAGCCCCACCTCCCACCCCCACAGGTCTGCTGGCTTTTGTGGGAGTGTCTCTGTGTGTCTGCTTGATGTGTGTGTGTGTGGATGTGTGTGGAGGGGGATGGGGGGCAGAAAATCCCCAAATTGGGGGTCATCTGTAGCCTTGGGCTCTTCCTGCCTGTCATATCCCTTGGCCTTCAATGCATTCCTTCCTGAGGTCAAACTTTAAGCCTCGGCCCATTTGTGCTCCTGGTCCATGCCCCAGACAGCTGGGGCCCTTTGGGGGTCTACATGTCTATGTCCCAGCCTCTGACTCTGACAGGCAGCAGGCTAATGGCTGAGATTTCAAGATTTGGGGAGGATGAGGTTTTTGTCTCTCTCTGTCTCTCTCTGTCTCTCCCTGTCTTTCTCTCTCTCTGTCATTCTCTTTGTCTGGCTCCGGGTCTGGGAAGGTAGCCCCCACCCCCACACCTCCTCATCCTCTGACCCATCCCTGCCTCTGAAGCTCTTCCACCTCTGTGTCTCTGTATCTCTCCCACTTTGTCTCTGGGATAAAACTTGAACATTGTTTTTCCAGCCTGATGTACAGACCTGAGTTAAAAGAGGGCCCATCATGGAGCAATGCATGATGGGAAATTCCCACACAGCATCTCTCTCTCTCTCTCTCTCTCTCTCTCTCTCTCTCTCTCTCTCTCTCTTTACATTGCTCTAAAGGAATATCACATGGCATCTCTCTTTTTCTTTTCTTTCTTTCTTTATTTTTGAGTTGGAATCTCACTCTGTCGCCCAGGCCAGAGTGCAGTGGCATGCTCCTGGCCACTGCAGCCTCCACCAGCTGGGTTCAGGTGATGCTTCCAATTCAGCCTTCCAAGTACCTGGAACTACAGGCACATGCCACCATGCCTGGCTAAATTTTTGATTTATTGAAGTCTCACCAAGTTGCACAGGCTGGTCTCGAAACCGTGGGCTCAAGCAACTCTCTCACCTTGGCCTCCCAAAGTGCTGGGATTATAGGCATGAGCCTCCACACCCAGTCCACATAGCATCTCTTATCAGTATCTATGCCTTATTCCTGGAGGGAAGAAAATGGAAAAAGGTCGGGTGCAGTGGCTCACACCTGTAACTTCAGCACTTTGGGAAGCTGAAGCTGGAGAATCACTTGATCCCAGGAGCTCAAGACTAGTCTGGGCAACATAACGAAACCTTGTCTCTACAAAAAATTAGCCAGGCTTGGTGGTGCGTGTCTGCGGCCTCAGCTAATTGGGAGGCTGAGGCGGGAGGATCTCCCAAGTCCAAGAGGTCGAGAATGTGGTGAGTCGTGACTCCAGCCTGGGCGACAGTGTGAGACCCCAACTCAAAAAAATAAATAAAATTTTAAAAAAGAAAAGAAAATGGGAACTGTATGAATGGTCACTTTTCCGAGGTAATGCAGATAGGATTCCTGCTTCAGGTAGATTCTGGTATAGAAGAATGCTCAAAATCCAAGATTCTAGGCTTCTGAGATTCTGACACCCTATTATCTGTGATTCTTGAATTCTGTGAGATTCAAGTTCCAGACCTTTATGAATCCAAGATTCTAACATTCTAGAGTCCTCTGGATGAAAAAGTTCAGGATTTTAAAATTATTTGAATAAAATCTAAGACTGAAACAACCTAGAATTCTAATGTTCTGGAACAAGACGACTAGAATTTCATCATTCTAGAATTCTATAAAGCTACAATTTTAGAAACATGTGAGTCAGATTCAAATAATTCACGACTCTAGAATTCTCTGGATCGCAGTAGTCTACTGTGAAGCAAATATCTAGAACCATGAGCTTCAATATTCAATGCACCTAGAAAACTCTGAACTTAAGATTCTAGGATCACGCTAGCCAGTTCAGCTGTTGAACACTTGAAATGTAGGTAATCCAAATTGAAACATACCATTTGTATAAAATACATGCTGAATTTAAAAGGCTTAGTTCCCAAAAAAAGTGAAATTTATAATTCCTAATTGAACACTTGAAATGTAGGTAGTCCAAATTGAAATCTACCATTTGTGTCAAATACATGCTGAATTTAAAAGGCTTAGTTCCAACAAAAGGTGAAATATATCATTCCTAATTATTTAAAAATCAGTTACATACTGGAATAATAATATCTGGAGTATGTCAAGCCAAATCTTTTATTAAAATTAATTTAACCCATTTATTTTTATGTCATTAATGTGTCCACTTGGAAAACTTAAACTTTTACGTGCCTGGCGTTATAGTTCCGGGGGGCAGTGCTGCTGATCCAGACTGCTAAAACTCTAATAGTCTTTGAATCCATAGTTCTAGGATTTTCTGAGGCCACTGTAGACTTTCATGAATTCAAGGTTTTAGGATTCAACGATTCTGGAGTCCTCTGGATCGGTCTAAGATTCTGAGAGTCTAAGTTTTCAGTCTGAGACTCTTAGAACCAGATATTTTAGGACCCTAGAATTTTAGGACTTGGGGGCCACCCTTTGTCCTTCTGAGAGTCAAGCTTTTTGTGTCGGAGAGGGAGGCTTCGCGCTTCCCACTCGCAGCCCCCCTCCTCCGACCCCCACCGCCCCCTCCGTCCCCCCACGTGGCCAGCCGGGGTCACTCACGGCTTGCGGCAATGGGCTGCTGTGAGCAGCCAGTGGTCACTGATGAGGGTCGCCCCACAGAAGAGCCGGGGGAGGTGGAAGAGGCCGGCCTGCCAAGGCTGGGAGTTGGGGGCACATTCCTTGCCCCCGATGGTGCGGGTATCAGCCCAGCTGTGCCCTGGGGACGAGGGTGAGGGAACAGGGGGTCAAGGAGGAGCAGGTTGGACTGCCGGGAGGGGATGCTGAGATGCCCAGAGGGCGGGGGACAGAGCCAGATGGTGGCCGGCCGGGGTGGAGGACACCGGCGGGGTGAGGAAGGGGAGGGGGCGTCGGAGGGACGGGGTGGG